AGCATAATAACCTCTTCAATCTTTCTATCCAAATATTTATATTATAATAGCTATTCTTGATAATTTTAGAATATTCTTGTTATTATTTTAGTATCCATTATTCAATAAGCTTCAAAATTACTTCTATTTTCTACCATTAAATTGACTATAGAGGTAAGAAAACCTCGGACAATAAAATATTCGTATTCTCTCCCCTAGGTTTTGGAGAGAGAAACATTTCTGAGACAAAAAAACATATTTAAAATCGCTATAAAAAGAAGAGCGCACAAAGTGGAAAGTGCACAACACAACCGAACAACATGAATGTTTAAAAGTATGAACAATCAAAAAAAAAAATATGTGAATATACAATCTATTTATATCAGAAAGGTAAAGATAATAAAATGTGTTGGATTACAACATGAGAAGGATACTTATACAATGCAGTAACAAAATGCAGTAAAAAAAGAGATATACGCAACAAATTAGCCGCTACAAAACTTGAATGTGGTAAATCGTTCTAAAGCATGACTGGAAAAGGATAGTAAATACGTATTTAAATGTATTTAATTGTACTTAACTGTCTGTGTAGTTTGTCATTGGTAATGGAAATATTGTATATCGACAATATAATATAGTGCTAATACAATAGAATAAAGTGGTGAATAAAAGGGAAAGTACTTAACTATTCTATGTTCTCTTATATATATTCCTAAATTAATAAAAGAAAAAAATGATTTAACGATTTTGTGGCCAACAATTTTTTTCGTTTGAACTGAAGAGGATGAAAGATAAAGATTATATCTTGACACAAAAATGTTAAAACTTTTCTGTGAAATTGTTATATACCACACCACAATACGTTCTTGTCGATTATATTAACATTAAGCAAGAGTTTAGTCCATTCTTTTATTCCCTATGGTCACATGTCGACGTTTCATCAATAAACTCCAATTAACCGCCCACTACATACAAAGACATATCAAATATCATACATCATGTGACAGTTACCCTGTTATGAGTACATTTTTCGTGTTTATCTCCTCTAGCTGTATATTCTTTATGAACAGCTAGTGCAGGTACCTTTGTATGCACATCACATCGTATCACATGACGAAGCCACTTCTTCGAACCACTTTTGCATTCTCTCTCCAGGGCTTCATCTCCTTGATCTCAGGAAACACACACTTAGTAAATAGTTATGCACCCAACTTCAGATACAGCAAAGCTGAGAGAGGAGAGAAAGTAGCGATCAATCCAATGTACAAAGAAGGTCGTGTATCATTATAATTTTATTATGCGAGAGTGCTTGAGTATTTCAAGAATCGTACTAACTGATCTAACTTCCAAATCGGGAGATAAATTATCTTAATTCGACTCGACATTGCTACGCGGCCTTCTCCTGACAGCACCAAATCACATCCAAATCATCCCAAAAATTCAAAAATTCAAAAAAAAAAAACAAAAAAACTACACAAAGTGGTAAAAATCCGATTTCCTGATTTGATACGATACACTAAATTCAAACAGGTTCTTCACATTTTTTTCCCCAAAATAGCGTAGAAAAAGAAACCGACACCAGCTTTTTTTTTTTTTCTCAGTTTTCTATTGGCTTCAGTTCATTTCGTTTCGAAAATAGCTCCTCAAGTACGGGTAAGTAAATTATAAATATTTTACATCTTGTACGACAAATCCTCTGCAATTTTCGATTTATATTTAGATTTTATTTCAAGACTTTTCTTGTTTCTTTTTTCATTTTTTTCATATTTTATTTTGTTGTTAATTCCTCCCGTATTTTTAAGTTTTTAATCTCTCGCCCTCTTCCTCGCTACGCTGCTCTCTTACCCACCTTCAGCGAAAAGCAACAAACAGCTACTAAAAGCAACAAACAGCTACTAAAAGCAAAAGCAAAAGCGAAATCAAAAAGCATAAAAACTATACATACACAGACAGACAGACATACAAGCCACACACTGCTTATAAATACGAATTCTCATCTGTTGTAATGCTTTTACCTTTATACTTGATTTTGATTCAACCTCCCTGTTACTCATCCGTAACGTAATATCACTAAACTGCTCTGGATATGCCAATGTCGTCTATCAGTTTATTTCAATCTCTTTTTTACAAACTGCAAAAAAAAAAAGCACATCATAATAATAATAATAATAATAATATCAGACCTTGACCATTTATCATAGTTTCTAGAAAGTTTGATTGATATATTGGTTAAAGTTTATGATTTATCCTTCTTGCAACTTAGTTCTTAGATTACTATATATTTATGTATGTATTTGTTATTATCTGATTATAAGAACTGATATCTTCTTTTTGATACAAAAGCTACCAGTGTTTGATATCTCTTTTTTTTGCTACGTTTTGGCTTTAGCTTTCATTCTTATTTTAGTTTTGGTTTTGATTTTAGTTTTATTACAAGTAGGCTACACTCCTAGTTTCCAATTTAGATCAAATTAAAATAATAATCGATTAAAATCCAGTAATTTTTATTTTTGATTTTGCTACATTTTGTTTAACCTGTTCTATAATTGCTGATAACAATATAGCTTACGTTCATTTGATTATACTTTTGGTAATTTTCTGAAGACAGAATCCTAACACACACACATATATATCCCTACATATATATATTCATTGATTCGTCTTTCCAAGATTAGTTTAGAGAACTCATTGAAGTGATTCATTAATAACGGAAAGTTAAACTTCCTGCTTTAACATTTAAATTTTTCAAGTTTGATATTCAGCTACTATTATTGAATAATCCTTAATCCGTCATGGTTTGGCTATGGTATTTATATACATTTGCATTTTTTATTAATTCGGTATTTGCCGAGGCAAATGCAGCTGGTGTCGATTCTAATAACGATGTTATAATTATTGATCCAGCTTATAAAAATTTAATGAATCGTATTGTCACACTTTACATAGACATTACAACCGTCGATGCTGCTGGTAATGTTATAACTAGTACAAGTACAATGTTTTCTTCTGATCCAGTTACTGCTCCTGCTACCACCCCAGTTGTCGTAGCTGCAACAACTACTCCTACTACCACCCCAGGTGTCATAGCCGCAACAACTGCAACTAGTTCAAGTTCGACAGTCGCCAAAACAGCGTCAAATTCTGGTGGTATATCTTTACTTAATCCAGTTAGTACTATTTATACAACAACAAAAGCTGGTGGTGGTACTACCGTTATAAGACAGACAGTCACTCCATACGTTTCTACTACAGCTGTTATTAATTCACAACTTCAAGAGACATTTATATCTGTGACAACTGTCACTCCTTCAATCTATACTAATCCATCTCAATTATCAGCATTGAAGGCTGCCTCTGGATCATCGGGAACAGGATCAACAACTACTCATTACACTGGTACAAAGCCAGATCCGTCCACTGATATGACTACACCACCAGTATCATCCGTGACAAATTTATCTATGGATCCCTATGTTACAATTACTCAAGGTACAACTAAAACATTCACCACTACTAGGGGTAGAACATCAATTTGGGTCACTGTAGTTGATGCTGGTTTTACATTGACTGTCCAAACTACTTTTGCTCAAAGATTTAGTTCTCAATACAAATCAGTTGCTGAACCCTCTTCAGGTTCAGTTGGTTTAGGTTCAATTAAAGGTACGGTCGGTGTGGTTAAACATACAATGACTGCCTCTGCCTCTGCCTCAGACACAGTAGCCAAAGCTGTTACCGTTAACGCAGCTTCTTCTCTGTCTCCATATTATGGTTATTCACTATTATTCATTCTAGCATCCATTATTTTCTTATAACGAAATTAAGTCAACATTCATTAATTTTTATTAGTTTAAATATAAAGTAAACTTTGGTAACAATTATATAAATTATAAAAGTATTTTTTAAATTTTTTGAAGACATTTATATTATATCTATGCTTGTTGTCTTGCCGCTTACATAATTATAAAGCTACGTAGATTCATAAACTTTGGCAAGATGTTTATATTAATAATATACATACATCTTTAATTGTTTTATTTTAGGTCCATGTATAAATATATAAAATTGCAAGTAGGGAATGGAATTTGTAATTAATGAATTATATTATAACAGATTTAAGTTATTTTGGCGATTATTCTCTATTCCAAGATAGAGTACTTGGATCACCTACTTTTCTACCAAAAAATGTCCAAAACCCTAGAATAGTTACAGCCATAGCTGCGCAAATACAACCACCAATTAAATAGATAATACCTAAAAATGGATTTTTACCACCGATATTGGAGCCATGAGTTAAATAGATGGCTTTTTTACCATTATAAGGAGCTACAGGCCAATGTAAACCAATGTCGATTTCATATAAACCAGCATTTAAAGTGTCATTGCCATTACGACGGATTAACTTCGAAAATTTATCAAAAGCCGCAGGACGCATCCAATTCTGGAATTCTTCCCATTCTTGAATATCTGGGACATTTGTTTCATTATAACCATCTGGGAATTGTTTTATCCAATATGGAGGAGGTGTAATCTCATCCGGGTTATATTTAGTCTTCTTATATCTTCTTCTGTCAGAATGCCAGTTAATTTTCTCATTGGTCAAAGGATAATTATTCGAGTTATCATTTACATTAATCAATTCCATTGGAAAGGTATCATTGAACATCGAGTTTGCTATTAAACCACAAGGATAATAAATCTTACCATTCTCATCACGTACTAAAGGTTTACAATTAATACCAGTATTATCATGAACCGTATTATACGAAGCAGCGTCACCTCTTAATTGAGCTTCACTAAATGAAAGTACATAACGTCTATGATTTGGAGAGAACTTTTCAATTAAATAACTTAAATAAACCGGTTGAGGAATATTATATGGAACATCAAATCTGATCTGACAAGTACCTCTTTCTTCGGAAGTATCAGTTTCATCATTAATGTACCTCCATTGCGGAACAACAGAAGCTGTGTTATTGTTTTTAAAACTATAGGAATAATGGTCTGACGACATATCACTCCAAGTACCATCTGAAGGAGCTTCAGTTGTACAGTTTTGATAGTAAATTATGATCTCATCCACTTTTGACGATATGGATAAAGTGCATCCACCAACAATAACGAAAACAGCTGCAATAAGCAGATATAGTGGTAAAATAGTTCTTGGTGTAACTACCGGATTATAAGCTGCCAAACGTTGTTGTGTAAAGTTATCTTCTCTAGGTCTTCTGTTCTTAACCTTTAATGGCATGTCATTTTCATCATCCTCAAACTCAGACGCATCATACTCATCCTCATCCATCATATTATTGTCAGTCTCTTGATTCTTAGTATTCTCATACTGATGCTCTTTATCCTTACGGCGAAAGACGCCAACGTGTTTTAAATCAAAATTCACCATTAATAAACACTACTAATAATCCCTCTCTCTGTCAATTATATATATGTATTTATCCCAGCAAACATATATATACTTGTTCACTAACACTATAACTCGCCTGCTCAAGCTATAAACCAAAACACACTACAATATTGACCAATAGCTATATATAAAGCCAATATAACCAAACCCCTTCTAATAAATATGCAATATATTTCACCTTCTTGAACTTGATCTTTGATCTTTTTTCCATGCTCTTAAGTGAAATATCCATTTTTTTCAACCAATTTTTTTTTCACTTCACTTCCATTCCTTTGCTTTGTTTCTATGTCTTTTTACCTATGACCTGTTACTGTCAACCTTTACCTTAGTTGAGTAGTCCGAAATGAAAAAAAAGTGGAAATGTTACCACTTGGACATGTGACACGAGGTAAAGCCAAGAGTAATTCGATGATTAAGTCTGTCTGCAATAATGGGCTTAGATCTGGAACTGGGGATCAACACCTGAGATATATCCAGGATTCTGTTGACAGTGGGTTAGATTGTTAGATTGGTTGTTGGTTGGTGATGAATTTTATATTTGTTGGGTTTTGCAGAGTGATAGTTAGTAATGGCAGATATTTATAAAGTTAAATTGCGTTTAATTACGTCATTATATATAGTGTCTATATTGGTGTTACAACTGGGATTCGAATTGACAGAATCAGAGATATGGGAAATAAAACTTGGAAAGTGATCCTAGATGTGCGCAATGAGATCCAAGTTTCTATGAAACTAATTGTACAACATATAAAATAAAATAAAATATAATAATATTGGATTTGAAACGAAAATGGCTTCAAGGCATATTGTCGAATCTCATGATTCTAGGATTTTTCAACGAACTATGGTTACAGTGATTTGATTTGATATGATATGATTTGGTTTAACTTCTTACAAGAAGCTGACTAATACTGTTAATAATATACAGAACCAGGTAGCAGTGGCTCTGCTAGACCCGCCTTCAAAGGCTGAAATAGTTTGCGTATTAGAATTAGTAGATTGAGAAATACTTGTAGAGCCAGTTGTGACACCACCAGCAGAAACTGCTGCTATTGATGAGGACAATGTTGGATAGTTTGTTTTGGTAGTGATACTCGAAGTCAACCCATTTGTTTGATTCGTTATGGTTTTAGTTTGGGATGATGAAGGGGCCGCTGTCTTGGCAGTTGTCTTGGTGAATTCAGTATCTGCGATATTGGATGTGGCTGTTTCTGATGGTTTGTGACAGACATCCTTTGTGCAGGTTACGACTACAGTAGTTGTACTTTTGTTAATAACGGTGGTTAATAGAGATGTTGAAATTCCTTCAGCATCAACAGCAGCGGCTGTTGTTTGTTGACCAACGTGTTTTGAAGTCAAAGTAGCCTGAACACCTGCTAGGCTTTGAGTTGGTGTCAAAGTCTTTGAAGTACAGACGTCTTTGGTACATTCAACTGTCACTGTCACAGTGGAGAGGACACCATTTACTGAGGTTGTGTATATCGAAACAGGTGATTTAGTATCAGTTACAGTAGTAGATGAATGATCAGGGCATGTAGTGAAAGTTTTTGTAACAACATTTGGAACACCATCGATAGTTGTAGTAACTAATGATGTGTATACAACAGTAGAATTTTCGGCTACTTCAGATGTCTTAGACCCCATGTCAGTAATTGTTGTCTTGTCATTAGAACAGATAGTTTTAGTACAAGTTAATGTGATTTCTGTTGTACTGCCATTGGTTATTGTGGTTATTACAGTAGTCACAGGTAAAGCAGAAGTTGTTTTAGTTTGTTGATCTGATTTCAAATTAATAGCTGTTTGATAGCTGACATCAGTGTTGATACTGGTAGTACTCTTGATACCAGTTGATGTACTAGAAGTTTTAACTGGTTTAATAGAAATTTTTCCGTCAGTAGAGTGACCAGCATTGGCAACATCAGAGGTAATCGAGTTGTTAGAGGAGATTTCTGCAGGTCTGGTAGAATTGGTTTTAAAAGATTTGGTAGAACTAGTTTCCTTACTTTGATACTCAGCATCGACGTCGTATGAGTTGATCATAGTATTAGAGGAAGTTCTAACTGGTATAGTGGTACTGGTTTGAGCAGACTCAATAGAAATTTCTCCCTCAGTAGAGTATCCATTATCGACATCAGAGACAATTACATTGTTAGAAGAGGTTTCTACAGATCTGGTAGAACTAGTTTCAAAAGATTTAGTAGAACTAGTTCCCTTGCTTCGGTTCTCAGCATCGACGTCATATGTGTTAATCATAGTATTAGAGGACAAAACTTCAGTCGATGTAGGTAAATGTGTTAAAGTTGAGAGAGATATTTCATTGGAAGTATTATTAGAATGTAGCGACGATTGTAACGTACTCTTTGGAAAAGACGAAACTTGAGAACTAGATGCCACTGATGAATCACTGACACTTGTCACCGCCAATGGCGTATCAAGGTCACTTGATGTAACGACAGAGCTCAAAGAATCTAGCTCCAATATACTGGATAATGATGGTTTTCCAACACTAGTACCTGAATAATAAGATTCAGAATATACAGACACCACGTCAGGAGAACTCGAGTGTGATAGAGGTTCTGTAGATACAACATGAAGTTCACTGCTGCTAGAGGGAACAACAGATGTTGAAAAATTAGAGTAATACACTTGTGATGACAGCGTTGTCATTTTGGATCTTTTTAAATTTGAATAAGTGATACAGACGCTTTGTCCTTATACTGGATTGTATTTATTTATTTTATTTTGAGAAAAATAATACCATAAAAAATATATGACTGAAAGATAATAAATATTTAATAGAATATTCTAAAATGATCTATATTTATACTTTTATGTTTTTATAAGTTTGTATACGTTGATTAAAATATATGTAAGCTATAACATTTTCGTATAACTTTCAAATAAAATCGTATCTATAAAGTTTTCAAGCATAAATGAGAATATTAACACTGACGTTATACATTTTATGTATTATGAAATTCAGAGGAATTAGCGACTACCACGAAAACTATTTTGCAATATACATAATACGATAAATTTTATGCACATCACCAACACGAAATTTGAACCTGCATAACAATGCATTTTCACCAGCATCTTGCAATACTAGCTTAGCATATAAAATTTTAAACCAAGTAGGAACAAGAGTTACAATGGGAGTACACCGAAATTAACAAACCAGCAACTCCTAACTTAAATAACTTAAATAACTTAAATAACTTAAATGTCAAATAATCATATATTGCCTGAAAGTTCTGCTGGGACAAGTCACCCCAAACAAGCCTATTTCAAAGTTTATGTTTGATTCATTCGAACAATGTATCAGGTTAGATAAGAAACTACAGTATCAGGAAAAAATGACCAAATCACAGATTATAGCTAAGCAAGCACATAACCAGAAATATGGATATTCTTTTTACTTACTGTTAGTGATTGGGTTTATCCTGAATAGGAAATCTAATTCGAAACTAGAACTAGCCATTCTCAATTTCAACCAGCCAGGATACATAAAAAGGAATTTCTATGCGATAACCTCTAACTTCTAATCTAATCGTGTTTACACTATTTTGGCATGTCATAGTCTCTCAAGCAGATTTAACGTTACAGACCAAAAGAGGAAAAATGCAGGATTCGTAAGTATGAACTTAGACTTTTAATGCAGATGCAAAAAAGACCCCAGAGTCCTAAGCATGGGAACTCACAAAATACAAGCAATAGATCCAACAAATTTAAAGTTTTTTTTTACCTTAAATGGCTATCTTCACCCAATGAAGTGAGCCCCATATACATAACCTCATGTACTACAAAAGTTCAGCTCACTGATGCTGGTAATTAAACTTTTAAATGTGTACAAGTTTAGACTAAGATGAGGTGCTTATGAGACGAAGAGAAGTGCTGTGTTTACATGTATGTGTGGCTGTATTTATCAAGTAGAACAATGGGGGTCAGTCCAGCCAAGCATTTAGTTAAATCAAAGTGAAAGTTTCTATAACGAACTATTGCCATTGAAAAGACAAAGCTTCATAAGTACAGTGTCTAAACAAGAAAGCCCTGGTATAAACATAAACATCACATTGTCCAGTAGATTGCTGTGAGATTGAACTACAAATGCAACAACTTTCTTCTAGGGCTTCATTAACGATTATGTTTAGCTATGTTATGTTACGTATGTTGTATAGGATAATAATGATAAATATTTTCGAATCCTAAAGACAAAACAGCCAATCAGTACTTAAACGAATAAGAAAGTTTTTAAAAAAATAATGCTTGAACAAATGGGAAGGAAGTTCATTTCTATAGAGAAGATTATTTTATAGAGTAGGTCGGGAAACAAGCAAACTAAGAATAGTAATATAATATTTGTAGAGAGCTTGCTTTTCGGAATTGCATCTATATATTTTTATCCAGTTTTTGGTGAAGATTGAAAGAAGTTACGGGATCAGTTAATTAATATATTGAACTAAGACTTAATCGGACTACATTATCTACCTTGCTTGATCAGTATTGATTGTATTTTAAAATTTTGGATTTGGGTGGTTTAAGTTGTACTGATTTACTTTGGGAAAGATATACTTTATCGACATTTGTTCCTTGTTATTATTATTTTTTTTTTTAAATTGTGATTTGATTATTCTGGTTTTTAAGAGCATTTCACAATCCATCATCAATAATCATTGTTAATGGGAATTGTATAGACATCCAACAAAAATAAATAATATGGTTGTCCCTATTATTATTGGTTTAGGAGTCACAGCAGCAGCTTTGGTTGCAAGCAGCGGTGTTCGTGCGTGGGCTGTTTACAAGAGGTTAACTCCATTGGCTATTGCTCAACTAAATGGGATTAAGATTAAATCAGACTCCAAGATGAGAGGTGATTTCCGCTTTATTAGCAGTCAACTAGATTCAAATTTAAAATTTGAATTAAATCAATATCAGGGTGGATTTTACAGACCGATGAGTGAAGCTGAAGCGTTGCTGATACTAGATATATCTCCAAACGAAATACGAAATTTGGATAAGAAGATGTTAGCAAAAAAACACCGTAAAGCAATAATATTGAACCATCCTGATAAGGGTGGAAGTCCATATCTAGCAATGAAAATTAACGAAGCTAAAGATCTCATTTCTTCTAGTTATCTCATAAGACAATAACAAAAACACGAAAATGATAGATCTTAGCCAGCACACTTGTTTGCATTTTAATAGACATAAACCAAAACTGTTGTACTAAAAATTTTGCTTTTTGATTAATAAATAACATCGCAAAATGTACCAGTATTGCAATACGGCAACGAAAAGTAAACAATGGTGTGGCAATCAATCGATGGTCAATAATCGTGAGTCAATTAAATTGATTATAAGATTCAATTCCAATTTTTAGTACCAATTTTTAGTTGAAACTGGTTTCAACATTATGATTTCAGGATCAAGATCAAATGCAAATATACTATTAGGACAATTGGTTCCAATAGAGGGGGGACAGTATCCCATTATTAATATTCACAACAAATTACAAAGTATAGGAATTTCGAGTTCCATCATTAATTTACCCAATCAAAATGTAATGGAGTTGATTGGCTTCAAACATGACTTAGACTGACATTTGAACAGTTACCGTCATGTATCTCAGCCCCATTTCTTTATAGAGCATATAAATATACATAGATATATCATACGTATATAATGATACATATACAATTTTAAAGTCCGGGTATCACTGTTTTCTGTTTTGCCTCATAGTAGCAAAAAATATATGGAATAAATTATTATCAAACAATCAAATGATCGATAAAAGTATAAGATATGAGATACTTAGCAGATATAATTGGGTATAAGTGATTATTTTATACAGAGTAACACACATCGATATTGAACTGTATTGCGATTTAATTGAGGATCTTTGTTGGATAAAGTGATCATTTGTATTGTTTGTTTGTTTGTTGGTTTCGAGCTTTCAAGTAATAATAGCACGAAGAAATTTGAAAAGATTTAAGAAATTATATAATATTGTATTATAAATACCAGATCAAATAAAAAATCATATTTTCAATTTTTGGGTTTATCTTTTAATATTTGGTTTGTGGGATCATTGATTGCTTGATTGATTGATTTGTGAAGTTAGTATCATGGTGTATGAAGCTAAACCTTTTGACCCTATAGTGGTGAAACCTAATGATAAGAAAAGGGTAGCTTATTTTTACGATGCTGATGTTGGTAACTATGCGTATGGTGCTGGTCATCCCATGAAGCCACATAGAATAAGAATGACACATTCTTTGGTTATGAATTATGGTTTGTATAAAAAGATGGAAATTTATAGGGCTAAACCTGCTACAAAACAAGAGATGTGTCAATTCCATACTGATGAATATATCGACTTTTTATCCCGTGTAACTCCTGATAATTTAGATATGTTTAAGAAGGAAAGTGTGAAATTTAATGTAGGTGATGATTGTCCTGTTTTTGATGGGTTGTATGAATATTGTAGTATATCTGGTGGTGGCTCAATGGAAGGTGCCGCTAGGTTAAATCGCGGTAAATGTGATGTTGCAATTAACTATGCTGGTGGTTTACACCATGCTAAAAAATCAGAAGCTTCTGGTTTCTGTTATTTGAATGATATTGTTTTAGGTATTATAGAATTGTTAAGATATCATCCAAGAGTCCTATATATTGATATCGATGTTCATCATGGTGATGGTGTTGAAGAAGCATTTTATACTACAGACCGTGTCATGACTTGTTCATTTCATAAATATGGTGAATTCTTCCCAGGTACTGGTGAGTTAAGAGATACTGGTGTAGGGAAAGGTAAGAACTACGCAGTCAATGTTCCTCTAAGAGATGGTATAGATGATGCCACTTATAGAGCAGTTTTCGAATCAGTCATCAGCAAGATTATGGAATGGTATCAACCATCGGCGGTAGTATTGCAATGTGGTGGTGATTCTCTATCAGGTGATCGTTTGGGTTGTTTCAACCTTTCCATGCGTGGTCACGCTAACTGTGTCAATTTTGTCAAGTCTTTTGGTATTCCTTTAATGGTTGTTGGTGGTGGTGGTTATACAATGAGAAATGTTGCAAGAACGTGGTGTTTTGAAACTGGGTTATTAAACAATGTAATATTAGATGAAGATCTGCCTTATAATGATTATTATGAATATTATGGTCCAGATTATAAATTAGATGTTAGGCCATCAAACATGTATAACGTAAACTCTCCAGATTATTTGGATAAAATTTTAACTGCTATTCATTCCAACTTAGAAAGCACCAAATATGCCCCAAGTGTGCAGCTGAACCATGTTCCTCACGATCTAGAAGACAAAGGTGACGAAGAAGAAGATACAAAAGAAGCTATAGATACCAAAGGTGGTTCTCAATATGCTAGAGACCAAATTGTAGAGAAAGATAATGAATTTTACTGAATAAGGAAAGGCAAGAAAACCGTTTACTTAACAGAAAGAATAAAAGACAAACCAAAAAACAAGAATAACAGCAAATAAGGCAATTTTTAAGGAGAAAGATCATATAGAAAATAAAATAAAACAATAAAAAAAAATTAATGAAATAAGTGTATAACCCCCCCTCAATTGTAATTTTCATGTTTATAAGAGCTTCATCTCATCATAAAATGCACACAATCTCACTCATATATATAAATATATATCCCAATATTTATAATATACTTAAATTAATGTATCAATCTATCTGAAAACATCTTCTAAACCACCAATATGCGATACTCAATAATAATAAAACACCATTGTAAATGATTATTAATTTAGTTGAACCATCTTTTACCAATCAATTATTAGTTAAATACGTAATATTATCAAAATTGTTCAATATAGATTACTAATTTCGCACTCTCTACGGATGTTTCTTTTAGATGAAATATTTGCCAATTCTAATTTTCTAGTCTTATTTGGCAGAAGGGGCAAGTTATATAAAGAAGAAGATTTAATTGAAAAATAAATTATCAATTGAATTTAAAGCAAAGAATATAATCAATTGGGACTACTTGTAGGATCAGTATTTAATTTAAGAACTTTTTTATTGAATAATTTTATTACCTTTGAGTATAAGAAAAATTATCAGTTGGAAAACATATATACAACATAACACACACAGAGAAAAGCAAAATGGCTGTTAAAGGTTTAGGTCAATTAGATAAGGAATATGATGGTTCTAAGTTGAGAGTTGGTATTATTCATGCTCGTTGGAATCGTGTTATCATTGATGCTTTAGTTGATGGTGCTATCAAGAGAATGCTATCCTTAGGTGTCAAGGAAGAAAATATTATTGTTGAAACTGTACCAGGTTCTTATGAATTGCCATACGGTTCTAAGAGATTTATTGATGCTCAAAAGAAGAAAGGTGAACCATTAGATGTAGTTATCCCAATTGGTGTTTTAATTAAAGGTAGTACTATGCATTTTGAATATATTTCTGATTCTACTACCCATGCATTGATGAATTTACAAGACAAGGTTCATATTCCAGTTATTTTTGGTTTATTGACTTGTTTAACTGAAGAACAAGCATTAGCCAGAGCTGGTATCGATGAAGCCCATTCTATGCATAACCATGGTGAAGATTGGGGTGCTGCTGCTGTTGAAATGGCTACCAAATTTGGCCCAAACGCCTTCTAGAAATGCCATTTTAAGAATAGATTTCAATTCTTATCTTTCTAATAAATTTGGTTTGATTACCTGGTAATGTAATTATAATCTATATAATAATTTTATAAAAAATAGTAACGATATAAATTAATAATATTAATGACCTATTGTGGTTAAATTATGCAGAATATTTGTTTTTATGAAATACTATAGACTATGGTTTAATGAATTAAGATGCTAAATTAATAGATTACCACCATTTTTGCTTTGTCTCTTCTTCACTGTCCTTAATGCATCTCTTTTCAATCTCTTCAATTCTCTGGTCCATAATCCTCTATTGTCCCAAAATTCATTTTCCCAATTAGCCAATATATCTTCTTCTTTAATAGATTTTATTTTGGTTAATTGTGTTTGACCAACCAAGAAGGGAGAATCTAAATGAGGGAAAAATAAACTTTGTTTATATCCTTGGTTAAAAGAAGTTGTTTTATCATCTTCGTTTATACCCATTGTATCAGGAAGAGCATCAGTAATTTTCTTATCTTGATCAATATCTTCATTTGAACCTTTGATTAATGTAAATGAATCATTTGGTTTATCTGGGTTAAATAGAGATCTCAATGTATCAGTGTTACTAATTGTACCTTCTGTAGCAACAAAATTAGGATCAGGTTGTGATGGGAATGAAGGAATAAATTCATCTTCGCTTTCTTCTTCCTTTGAATGCTTTTCTTCATTTTTAGTTTTAGAATCAGGTATCGATGGCTCTTCATAATTTTCTTCATCATAATTTTGATTGTAATCATCATCATATTCTTCATTGTAATTTTGATTGTAGTCTTTCTTGTAATTTTGATTATAGTCTTTTTTGTAATTTTGATTATAGTCTTCCTCATATTCATCTTTAGTCTTGTTCTTGCTGGACTTATCTACAGATGCTTTATTGGCATTTATTTCAAATTCATCATCAGAATCAAATACTGAAACAGGGTTATCGAAATCAAAGTTTTGTAATACCTGTGACAATGCATCTGTATTCTTTTCTCTTTCTGCTTCTTCTTCTAGTATTTCTTCATCAGCATCTTCGATGTTTTCACCATCTTGCTTGGAGAGAATATGTATTTCATCTCTTAAACCAATACTTTGCTTACTTCTAGTATAGTCCAATCTGTCAACTATGTGATCATAACCATTACGCCATTTTCCAGCAATGAACTTATAAGATAAATCTTTAATATCTTTATCTCTATCATAACCCCATAGCTTGTTTTTATAACATTTATAAACTTTTAATGAACCATTAACATCAACTCTGAACGTAATGTTACGTAATTGGGCTTTTGGTCTTGGTGTCTCTCTCATTCTACCACTTATTACTTGTTTACGATCAATCCATGATTTATCAATGTTTTCTAATTTCTTATAATGTTTCCAATTCTGTTTGGCATTAAATTTAGAGAGTTTTAGATCATCTTTTAAATCCTTTTCATTTTGCTGGTTCCAAGCAGTCTGCCAATCTGGCTTAGCTAAGTCAATCCTCAAAATGTTTCCTTTAAACTTCAACTTATTATAATTTTGTTTCAAAGTACTAAAGGATGAATCATCAGAGAAACTCATATTCAAAAAGGCAAAATTTGAATGTTTCTCAAAACTTTCTTGTTCACATTTACCAAATTTTTGAAACCTTTTATATAGATCATCTAAACAACCATCGATATCATTATTCAAGTTCCCAACAAAGACACGTTTTTCAATGGAAGACATTATGGAAAACACAGATATATTTATCTATCTGTAGATCTCTAATTGTTTAGCTCAACAATACGAAACTGAAATAAAGCTAACCTTATAACTTCAACTTATACTTTTAAATGAATGTATCATCTCATCTCATCTCATCGCTAAAATTTTTCATTTTTTTATATCTTCATGAAATTTTTCATTTTTCTGATTATGGTGAAAAATAAAGGCATACCAATATATATTAAGAAGGTAACAATTGATATAATAATACAGAATTTAGATTGGATTAAATGTTGTATATGTATTTATATAAGCTTTAATCATTAATGCAGGGATAATATTTCTATTTTATAGTTTTTGTATTTATGGTTCAAACAGCCATTTTTTTGTATCTTTGTAAGAATTATGCGATTTTTTATATATTTTTTTCTCGAATTCATCCATTGACAATAAGAAAGGGGTGTTAATATTATTGCCATCTTGATAAATCGAATCCTTGTTACTGTTATCTGGCTTGTTTGAGGCTAATTCCAACGCGACACTACTGGCGTGGTTATTAAGTTCTATTGATCTAGCTAAAGTCAAATCGTAAATAACATTTGCTAAATCCGTGTCACCAAATAGAGCAATCCATTTATTTGCAAGTTCAATAAAATGAGAGTTGATTGAATGTAAATCTAATGATTCTGGTGAGGTTTTAATCGCATTTATAACTTTGTTCGATAAAAAATCAGGAGTTTGCATTTCTAAAAATGGCAAATTATCATTTTCATTAGTCTCATCACCGTTCTCATCAGCTCCTTCTGAATCACCACCTATAATAGCCAAAATACGTGCTAACCATAATGGTAATTGGATTTTTGTATTCTTGTTAATTTGCTTACCAGGATTACCTTCCAGATAACCCAAGCCTGGTATATCATAATTGAACTTGCATGGAATCTCAGCTGAGTCTGCAAGAATATCGTCTATATCATAATACATTCTACCAACGCTATGATCTCAACCTCTTGAGTATGCTAACGTTAAACAGCTGTTTCCAGTTTCAAATAATCACGATTACTATATATATCAGTCTTATAGTTTAATTAATTACTATATAGTAAACAGCAATAGAGATGCAAACAAGAATACCTGAACAAAACGCGTAACGAATGTCCTTCTCACAATTAAACAATTATTCAAGGTGTTTACGCGTCAGTTCATCCATCCCATACCAATCAGCTAAGAAACTTTCAATAAACAAACTTTCAACTCTTCAAAATTGGATAACTAAAAACGAGATTGATACATTGATGTTGATCTTCGCATCCCCGTTAGCAACGATTAGGCAATTGGTCCATCCCTTGGTAGATGATCTTAGTCACACACTTGGTGGTGGTCCATATCCTTATTAGCCAATCCAAGCCAATAAGGATGTAACCAAATAATTAGCAAAAAATAAGAACAGAAGAAGTAGAAGAGGAAGAAGAAGAGGAAGAAGAAGAGGAAGAAGAAGAGGAAGAAAACGGTAAGCAACAGAATAACTAAAGTTTGGAAAAAGAATCAACAGCATTTTGAACAAATAAGGAATCAGTTGAATCAAGTTCAAACGACTCTTCAAGATGAAAAATTGTACATGGTTACTGCATGGCCACTCCGAAAGTATAATGTGGAGTATTCGTCCATCCATATACCCTCAATTTATCCTTAATCCTATCCTCTTTTTGGTTGTTTGCCTATTTACGAATATAATCAATCGTTATTGATCGATGGAACGGTTTTGGCTAACCATTCAAAGAAGATCATTATCACCGATTCTTGTATAGTTAATGAGGGATAAGAACTGTGATGCTGATGCTGATGCTGGTGATGATGATATTGGGGGGAGGGGAAGGTATTGTTTGTTAACAAGATAATAAGCAAGTAATATTCAACACATATACTTTACTAAGAGACCCTTTTACACTTGAACTCTTCAAATTGGTAAATAGATAAGTAAAATATTAGTAAAAAATTGAAATGTTTGGATTGTTCTCGAGTATATAAAGTTGAGGATTATTTGGGTTGACAGATGACTCTTTTCTCTTGTTGATGGATTCTTGAATAAATTTGTTTCCTTTTGAATTTGTAGTTATTGTATTTTAATTTTCCTTTTTTCTTCTCTAAATTCATTTTCATGTTTGTTAGTTTCCTGTTGCTCATCAACTGCTTCATAAAGGTATTCATTCATATACACACATATATATATTATACTTACTCGGGATTGTTTCAATTGGTCATTTCCCAGCATTTTTTGTATATATAGAGGATTAGAAGTAAATCAACAGTGATAGGTTTGTTCTAGAGAGTTTTTAAAGGAAGTATATATTCATTCAAGTCAAGTTAAATAAAAAAATAAATTAAAAGAAGATGGTTTGTGATACTGTGGTTTATCATCCTTCTATTACAAGATTGATTAATTATCTTGATAGCACTGGTGGTAGAGAAAAGATTTTAAGGTTGTTGCAATATTTGGCAAGATTTTTAGCTGTTCAACAATCGTCAAAGTTAGCAAAATCTTTACAATCTCAGTTTACTTTAGTTAGAAAGTTCTTAAGATTTTTGAAGCCATTAAACCATTTACAAGCTGCTTCAAAACTTTACGATAATAAATTGAATAGTGATTTAATTATACGATATGCAAATATAATTAAGAACCTGGCAATGGGTGGATATTTGTTCTTGGATCAAATTAATTTATTAAGAATTTTAAAAGTTATCGATTCCAATAACTTCACCGGTACAGTTGTGCCAAGATGGACTAATTGGTTCTGGTTCTTTGGTTTAGTTGCAAGCCAAGTTGTCAATATAAGAACTATTAGAAAATCTCAATGCAAAATCGTAGCTTTATTACGTGAAAAGGAATTAGAAATGATGTCGAATAATGAAAATGAAATTGATAAGGAGAAGCTAATTGAAGATGACAAGTCATTAAAAGCTGCTTATATGCAAAGATACTCCTCAACAAGAAAGTTGATTTGGGATTCCTTGGATTCATTCATTGTCTTGAACAATTTGAACTATTTGAGTAATGAAGATGGTTACATTGCTCTATCAGGTGTTGCTACTTCTTTGTTAGGTATTCAAGACTTATGGAGAGGCACTAAAATCTAATCATCAGTGTGAATTAGTTACGTTGTATGTCAACTTCGATGTTTTTTTTTATTATCTTCTATTTTATTCTATTTTAGTTTTTATTCTCCATTGGAGGTTTTTATATCTCTCCATTCCACCTCGTCACCTTTTCACAATTACCTTACTCCTTAAATTTACTTTCATGTGGTAAGATCATTTTTATAATATTATGTAGTGCAATTCATTTTGTACAAAGTTAAATTAAAACCATAACAGGCATAAAAACATTTATTTTGATTAAATCCATCTTCAGCTTCTTCTACTTCACCAAATAATTATATTTACTCTATGTCCTAAATCAAAACAATGACTTTAGCTCTTTGGTTCAATTTAGGTCGGCATTCAAATAACTCCAATGATAAGAATGTATCTCGTATAATACCAAGATGTTATTATTATACATAACATTATCTACTTTATATAATAACCCCATAATAATGATGATAATTAATCCTAATATGCCTTAATGATTATCCTTGTTAACTGTCTATTTGATGTGTCTCTTGAATTAGATTCATGTAACGTTTGATATCTTGGCTTTATTTTTTAAGATAATCACGTGATATGAATATTCCAAATCAATGTAACTTTTTGAAATTTAACAAAACTAAACTATAAGAATAAAAAGATCAAATATACAATTATAGAGAGGAAGAAATGTATATATACTTGTAAATGCGTACATTATAAATACATCAATTGTTGAATACTCAGCTAGGTTGAGTTAGTATAGTCTTCATAGGTTTTTAGAGTTTTACTCCCCTTTATCTGGACTTTTTTTTTAAGCTTTTTTAAGCTTTTTCATTTGGTTTTGGTTTTCAAGTTAACAATTAATTTTGAATTTGATAATATACGTTTGTTAAATAGGTAGAGGTAATAATGGATGCAGGTAGTCCACATTTTGGAATTGCTGTTAATCAGCCTAGTAGACCTCCTGTGAATCAGAGTAATGTGGGTTCTAACCAAGGTGTTGCTGTGAATCAGCAACAACAGCAACAATTGAAACAGAAAATGTTGATACAACAGCGTACTGTGCAACAGAAGAAACAACAACAGGCAATGCAGAATTATGAAACTCAATTTTATCAATTATTAATGACATTAAATAAAAAACCAAAGAGGCTTTATAATTTTGTTGAGGGAACAGATTTGATATTGAAGAAATACGAACAATATAGACCAAGTTTTGAATTTCATATTTATGAAAATAATTATAAGATTTGTGCACCTGCAAATACAAGATTGCAACAGCAACAAAAGGCTCCTGAATTATCTACCGATGGTTTGATTTTGAATAAGAATAATGAAACTTTGAAAGAATTTTTGGAATATGTCGCAAGAGGAAGAATTCCTGAATCGATTATGGAAGTGTTGAGAGATTCAAATATTCAGTTTTACGAAGGTAATTTGATTCTACAAGTATATGATCATACAAATACTGTTGATATTGTGGTACCCAATGATAACCAGGATGCAAATAGGGATAAAAGACAGAACCAATCACCATCGAAATCAAATTCAGGTTTGAGTGTATCACAAGAAAACATTTCATCGAATATTGTAACTAGAACCACACCTGTTTCCTCCAATACCACAACGGCATCAACAGCGTCGGCAGCAAATGGAAGTTTGCCCAACGCCAGTTCTCAAAACACGGTAAGTTCAGTTAATACAAATAGAGAGCAAGCTGGTGTGCAAAAAGACGACCAGACCTCTTCAATAACAAATGTAGATACTGGCGAGAAAGGTCAGAACAATGCTGCAAAAAATGCTACCACATTTAAAAGACCAAGAGTATATAGAACGTTATTAAGACCCAATGATCTTACGTTTTATTATGATATGATGTCCTACTCTGATCAGTCAAGGTTTTCAGATAATATTTACCAACAATTGGAATCTGAAGTTTTGGCAATGACGAAAAGAAATATTTCTCTGGAAGTTCCGTTGGATCCTTATAAATATCGTGACATCCTAGATCCTGAGCTATTTATTGGACCAAAACGTGATAAAAAATCAGGAAAAATTATCCATCAACATCGTGAAGAATCTAAAAAGGCTGGTACTAAAGCTGTGGTAGGGCATGTTGAACAACATGAAGAAGTACCTCAAAATAGCACGAACTATGAACAGATGATGTTGATTTTAAATGAGAGTACCACAACTTCAACGAACTCGACTTTAGCTGTGTCTTTAACAAAGAAGGCATTACAAGCTTCCTCTGCTAATAACAAGTCAGGCTCAGGAAGAAATCAATCACCTGTTGAAGATGATTATGGTGACAGTAAATTAAATGGTCCATCTGGGGTTGGTAATGGATCTAATAGTCCTGGAAATAAGGTATCAATAGCCGCCGCTGCCGCTGCTGCTGCAGTGGGTGCGAATGCCCGTAATGAAAATAACCATTTCAACAGAGTCAAATTCATCGAGCAATGGAGAATCAATAAAGAAAAAAGACAACAATCAATGAGTAATAATTTATCACCAAACTCATTCAATACAAGAATATCTATGACTACTCCTATAAACCCACAACAACAAGCATTACGTCAACAGCAAATGTTGCAACAACAACAGCAACCACAGCAGCAACAACAGCAACAGCAGCCACAGCAGCAGCAAAAGGGTAAGGGAGCAAACAAAAGATCAGCCAGTAACACTGCTGATAAACCAAAAACTAAAAAACCACGTAAAAATGCTAAGAAAGCTCAAGGTGAAACAGCAGCTCCTAGAAAGAAACGGGCTCCTAAAAAGAAGCAAAATGAGACATCTAAAACCACTTGATCGTTGTGTTTTTTAATTTTCAGGATATTCAAAATTGATCATCAGGAATTTTTCCCAATTTATAAGACACTTTGAAGCTATTGTAGTTAGTTATTCTGTATTATTTGTATTATTGTTTTAAATTTGCATTATTCACATTTCTTATGCTTATTATTCATTCAACTTGTGCAGTATAGTAATCTCTTTGTATGGAATATGAAAAATATAATGTTTTTGATCAGATTAATATGATTCAATATTAATTATGTGAAGATCTGATTATTTAATTATAATTTCGCTATATTGATAAATTGTAGTTTAGTGACATCCCTTATTTATTTTCACGAATATTATTATTGCTATTACTATTAATGGAAAGATGCTGTGATTTTCATTCATAGATCAAGTTTAAAAATTTTGAAATGATTTTTGTTTTCTTAATGGTTCTAATTCCATTAAAATAATCATATCATAAAAAAGAACTTTATTGTTCTTCACTGTCCTAATAAATTAAGAATAATTTCCAAAAAAATTTTGAAGTTATTGTATGTTCAAAAACCAACAATTATTATTGAAATGAGTTATTAAAATCATGCCAGATATCTACTTGGGTGTTTAATGCCAATTATGAAGAGAATTGATTTATGGGAAGTAACAAGTATTTAATAATTTCTAAAATTTTCAGTAAACTATTTAGTAAGTACATATATTAATTTCTAATTATAAATATAAAGTTACATTTTTATAAGAGTGATATTATAAGATGCTGCTTGGTAATGTCATATATTTCTAAATTAATACTGCGGGTAGAAACTAAAAGGTTACTAAAAATATTCTTAAAAGCTGACATTTGTCTAAATAAATATATTCCCCAGAGTTGAACTTGAACCTTACTCAATGTCGCATACCTTTACCATATTGATAATATTGTTTCAATCGCTTGGAATAATAATAATATCTACAAAAAGACACAGATAGTGTATGCTTGACGTTCAAGATTAGTCTAATGATGTTACCTTATTTAAGATTTCAAATTATATCAAAATAAGGATGTATGAGTCCTCTTTAATGAAAACCCAATATTTTAGCTGTTCAATTCCAGCTAGAAGAAGTGTGTAATGGTCGAACATCAATTAATTCGTATTCGTCAATATTTAAATAGAATAAATAGTTTTTGATGTGTTTCAAATCATACTAATGGAGCTTCTGTATCAGGAATTAAGAAGAATCATGCATTAACTGCGTAATTCATTAATATACATTTATCCACTTCTATCTACTTAGCAATGTTAGGTTAAATTAGTTAAAATATTCTTACTAGAGTTATCTCGAAGGTATGGTTAAATTGATACATGCCGAGCAAAATCAAAGTAGTTAGATACATATGCAAAGTCTCACTAATATCAAATTATTAAGATGTTTTGTATTTTGTGTGAAACTTATGGTAAGAAAGGTTTGATTATAAATGGCAAAAAATATCGTAATATCCACATTTAAATGTAATATATGGAGAAATTAAAGTTTACTTATCTAGGAAACTGATTAACTTTCTTCCTGGAATGCTAATGATGTACTGCTATGCTCAATAAATGGAAAAAGTTATTAGGAGAAGTTGGGACAGAAACCAATTCCTTCATCATTTCAACAGAGGTAAGATGAACTTGTATTATAAGAAAGGATCCAAGCAAAATTTAATAAAAGAATTTCTTCGTGGAAGGGAGTATGTGTATTAATCAAACAGACAGTTTCGTATATAGTCTCCACATGTAAGTTCTACAGTCACAGAAATGGAGGGTGCTAAACTATTTGAATGTAGCACTTATTTATAGTATTACGACTATATATACATATACAATTTATTGATTTCAAGCTCACTGAAACCATATTTCTTTTTAGACCAGTATACAGATAGATCCAAAGGTTCTTTATAGATTATTGTGAACTCAAAGAAACTATGATCAAATCCAAATATAGACTCATTATCATCAAAGGGATATTTGATCAAAATCAGGGTACCAGAATATTATCTTTAGCTGGAACTCATTGCTATATGCCGCCTAATAGCCATTCATCACCCTCACCATATAAAAAACCAATTCACTACTCGTAATGTTCTTTCTTTCTGGAATACCACATCATTTGGTTTAACCAATCTACTTATTCTACCCCAAAACTAATGGGTCAAGTAAACTGTCAATAAATATGAGGATTTTGTATCGTACAGTTGAATAACATCTTGATATACACCAAGAACGAACACGAGGATATAGACCATTTACGTATCATTCTCTCTACACTTCATTTCTCATCATCGCCCTGCCAAACAAGATAAGATCAAAGTTTCTCAAACAAATTCGATTTCTACTACTAAATATATGTCCTTCTAGTCCAATTGGCTTCTACTGATCCGAAGATGTCATTATCATAATAAATACTTTGGCTCTTACTATTGGCGCTACCCTATAATTATATAGAACCTTTCAATACATTACTATTGTTTCTCATTTAAGTTCTATATTCTGTGGAAACTAAAAAAAACATCGGTATTCAGTAGAAAGGAACTTTTTTGCATTAATGGTTATATCCAAAAAATGGAAGTAATATATCATGGATTAATTTATTTTCATTAGAACTTAATAAGAATAGTTACCAAATATTCACAAACTTGAATTTTTGAACCATCAAATTTCAATTTGTATCGAAAATCTCTAGAATATCTACTAAGATATCAGATATATGTAATAATTAAGGGAGGGTTATAGTAAAATATTTATGAGTGGGGAGTACTAACCATTTTGTGACGCTCCCTATTATTTTCATAATTTTCGATCTTAGTGATTAATCGACAGAAGGTTGAATATTGTATTTCTTAATATTGTTCTTCTGAATATTATCATAATAGCTGTTGTTGTTTTTTACATGAAAAAATACTTTTAATGTGAGATAAATAGAATTGAAAATGCGTAACTACAGATCACTATTTCATCCAACCTCTAGAATATCCTTTGTTATAACAAATTATGTGTTTGACATAAAAATAGCTTAATAGAGGTCAAGGATAAGAAGTTAAACAAATTATATGTCTTGCTCAAACTGACGTTATATTATTAATGATATTAATGAGATGAATAGTAACTATCTATTTCAGATTACTTTAAATTATTATATATAAAATACTTCCTTGTACATTAGAAGAAGAATATTAAACTTCTTTGATAATATGCGAATCTATTAATCTGTAGTAGTCTCCACTGCATACACGATTACAATAAAAGTAATACTAGTACCTATTTGACGTATATCACAGAGATTTCAATAGCAAAAGGAACCAACTTAGTGCTAAACAAAGAATATACATTTTCGAAGAACCTACTGAGTGTCTCTGCAGTACATTTACTGATTCCTTGTTCCTTTTGAATGTTTTGCCTTAAGAGGCAATCAAAAGATTATGAGGAGACGCACTCAGTAACGCGAAATGGTTTTAAGTTCTACAGAGTTATTACAATCCGATCTCAAGATCCTGGATAACCTGAAAACTCTACTGCGGTTTTTCTCAGCAACTTCAGGGTATCCATGGAAGCTGGACAAGGGTAGACTACAGAGACAAAAGGAACAAAAATTTTTTGTTCCTTCTCCACAACCGCTTCCAGTCTTTACCTATTTTGTAAAGTTGATGGTAGGAATTATATAAATACAGGAATGATTGCAGTTACGAATACTGTTTCTCGAATTCCAAAACCAAGAACTATTTAATATCAATTTCCCTGTAGAAATATAACAAAGTGTGTCTAAGTTGCACTTTACAACCGATTTTTTGAATATGCTAGGCACAAATATATTCGTACTATTGTCTGTCCTATTCAATTTGACTCTCAGTTTCAATATTGATGCCAATGTATTAGGCAAAGATGAAGACATTGCAGTAGATCCAGAATATCGCGGCCAGTATAAGGGTATTAATATTGGTGGTTGGTTAGTGACTGAACCTTACATCACTCCATCACTGTACGAGAACGCCATGGATCTGGCAAAGAAAAAAGGTTCAAACGTAACTATTATTAACGAATACACTTTGTGTGAAGCATTGGGATACGATGATGCCAAGGAACTGTTAGACAATCATTTCAAAAGCTGGATTACTGAAGAAGACTTTAAGAAGATTAGTGAAGAAGGGTTCAACTATGTCAAGATTCCCATCGGGTACTGGGCGTGGAAAATTGACAACGAAACAAATTTGTATCCAGGGAATCAGACTTTCAGCGACCCTTACGTGAATAGCAATCAAAAGGAATATCTTGACAAGGCTATAGACTGGGCATTGAAATATGATCTCAAGGTATTGGTCAACGTATATGCAGTTCACAATTCAACAAATTACATAGATGATTTTGATTCTGATAGTTATTACTTTTGGAAATATGAAAATGCAACGGAAGTAATTTCTGTAATTCTAAAAGATTATTATGATTATATGTTAAATATAGATTATCCATCTTCTCTGGTCGGACTTGAGGTATCATTTACCCCAATAGATGGTATATTTTTTGGGCAAAACGATTTAATCGACTTTTATACAGATCTCTTTGACTACTATGAAAGTGCAAAGGAAAGTATCAAAAGCCCTAATCCAAATATAACCTTTATCCTTGAGCAAAATGGCCCAACATACAACATGACGTATCACGACTTGGATCGTGACTTCTATAATAGTTCGAGTCCTTATTACAAAGGAGTTGGTTATAGATCAGATGCACGTCTAGCTGAAGCCGATGATTCATATTTCCTATATGCATATTCAAAAGATATTTTTGATCAATATAATGGTACCGATGAATATCTCGATGTATTATATAACTATCAAAGGAATCTAACTGGTGAGCCTGACTTTCCTATAACTTTCGTAGGTTCCTGGAGCGGTGCATTGACTGATTGCACACCTTGGATTAATGGTATAGGTTATGGGTCAGACTATGATAATACATATGATGAAGGTGACAATGATCACTATAGTGACTATAACGAAGGTTATACTTGTGTTTCTCAAAAACCTATTGACCAGTGGCCTGAAGAATACAAGGTTCAAGTTAGAAAGTTTATCGAAGTTCAATTGTCAAGGTTCAATACTTATAATAAAGGTTGGTTTTTTTGGAACTGGAAAACCGAAAGTGCACCTGAATGGGATTACCAAAAACTGAGAGACCATAATTTATTCCCACATCCATTTGACAATTTTACGTATTACAATACGAATGGTGATTTGAACTTGGCTGGTTCTGATAACAACAGTTCTCCTTCCTCGACTAAAACATCACTTAATACCTCATTGAGCGTTCGTAGTAGTGTTGTAAGCTCATACAAAGCCACTACTTCCAAAACAACGAGCAAGACAGATAGTTCAAGTATCTCCATGTATGGTGGTAAAACTAGCTCAACCAGCTCCACAAGTTCCACCAATTCCAACAGCACAGCGGCTTCACACAAGAACGGGACGTGTGCTATTAAGAGTTTTAGTATTTTAACTTCAATATTCTCTTGGAGTTTGACGCTGATTAGCTTGACTTGCGGTATAGCGTTATTTGTTTAAACGATCTGAATATTCACCCAGCTTTGTAATTTTATATACTTTTATGTACACGATACCAACGAATATGTATTATTAACATAACTGTAACTTTAGTAACTAAGAGAAGGTTGACAGAGAGAACTGGAAAATATTGAACTAGAAACACCTCTGTCCAACATCTCATTTAATGATACATTTATGAGAATCCTATTAGAAGCGACAATATTGCTGACACGGAAGGATATGAATTTGATTATTGTATATTAAACTCATCTATATATCAAGTGCTAAGGCGGGTTCGAAACTGAGATGGTATGGTTAACAGTTTCTGTGTTGTTAGTTAATTGTTGATTCATTTTAAATTATATTAGTGGGAAGCTAAATCTTGTTTTTATTAGGCACAATGATAGAAGGATTAAATACAAGGCAGGAATAGTTTCTAATAAAATAGAAAATAATTCCAATATATAACTTAGAGATTTTATCTAATTACTCAAGTTAGAAGTTGGTTATGCTTGTTGTATTTGTTGTGCTGGTTAAGCTTCTGACGCAAATCATATTACAACATTGAAAACTAGAAATGGAGCATAATAGATATAAATTTTAGTTTGGATGCAATTGGTTGCAATTGGTTGCAATTCGATTTAATATTCTCTTATGATGAAATTGCATCTTATACCAATACAATCTCATTACAGCATCCCATTTCTACCGAACATGGTTATATTACATCATGGTTGTGTTTAATTCGCTGTACTACTAAAGTTATATTAAATATCGTTCTAATAGAGAATGTTGAAACTAAATATGACACATTACTGTTTGGATCTGTCATGTTCCATTTTCTGTGTATCAACACTTTTCGTTTACGAAGCAACCCACAGGACATCTAGTCCTGTCAGTTCCTCAAAATCGAAGATCCAGTTTGTTCGATACTGAAAAATGTCGTTACATCACGTCCGCAACAAATACCTCTTTGGGAAACGGACAACAAAGCGAGTTCATGGAATGAAGAATGTATGTGACATGAGTTACTGTCCAGTACCGATCCCAAGGAGTCCTTGTCACAGCAACCAGATTTTATGGTCTGGTCAATGATTGTGTTTAGGACATACATGAATCTCTAGGTTTATGGTGTATGCAATCAGGATGGTGAAACGAATTTATTAAACCCGGATAAGATTGGATAACTGTATATAGATGATAAAATATTATCAGATTAGGCAATCAAGTAGCATGACTGTTGTTCTGAAACGGGAAATATATGATGAAGTGAGAAGTAATTGGCTATCTATCGTTACTATGAATCCATTGATTTTAATTTATATAAATAGGATAGCTATTTCATGTTTCTATGTTTCGATATTTCCAATCTTCTTATCTTCCTGTCTTCCCATAAGAAACAGCCCATCATACCCAAATATATACAAGATGCAAAAGACTCAAACCAAACAAGAAAACAAAGACAACTGCTGTTTGTTGTTAGCTGGAGCTGCTGCAGGTGCCGCAGGTGTCGCCGTTGCAGGTGCTGCTTGTGCTGGCGCTGCCTGTGGATGCAACTGTGTCATTGCCTAGTTGTAATGTGGTTGAATCCATGTGTAGTTTAATATATATATATTATGTAATTTATAGTTTTAATAAACATTTTACTCCAACTATTTTACTGCTTACACTTAAATTATATAAGCTAAATTGTATATTTAAAATGAAAAATAAAGATAGAAAGAGAAAACGATTTGGAAAGGTAACAAAAGATAAGAGTGAGAATGAGAGGACAGGAAAAGACAAAGAAGTGCCTTGGGTTGTATTTATGAGTGAGTGTTAAAATAAGACATACCTTTTTAAAGTGAAATTTTAATGTAGCGATAGACACATTTGATTGTTATTAAAAATCAAACACTTGAGAAAACCTATATATATTCTGATGAGTTGCACTGTAATTACCATCTGTATATTGAGAAACGCCTAGTTATTAGTTTTAGTGTGTGTTGACAATAACCAAGATTAAGATATTATCCATTTGATTGTTTTATTTTAAAAAGAATGTCTGAAATTTAAATTCGAGTAGTATCACTAGAAAGATATTATTTCAAGCTGAGAATATTTTTAAAATATGTTAATGTATTGCATAGCATTGAATTCACTTTTATTCTAATAAACAGATTAGCAGTTCTAATTAAATCGATCAAGATATCTTTACTTCCTTGCCCACTCACTGTTGAAATAATATTAGTATTATATTTCAGATTTTTATTTTTTATTTTATCTTACTATCATTGATTAAAATGTTATGATCATTAATCTGAAATCGATCCGAGTAAATTGCTTCCTTATCAGACAGTCAACACTTTGAAATACAAGTATGTTTTAAAGGTTTATTTTATAAAATTGTTTTTTTTTGGATAGAAGTGGGATAGGAATTGGAAACTAATGTAGCAAAATATGTTAGAGTAAAGAATATTAGATGTTTGAAGTGAAAGGTTCGTTGTGAAGGTACGTTTATTAATTGTGTTGATACAGGTTCAAAACTGAGACGGAGTAATTTACAGTTTTGAAATTATTATTAATTTTAGTATCCAATTTTCTAAGCTATATGTTTGGGAAGCTAATCTTTGATTATATTATATAGTATTATATAGCTTAAGGATCACATCTAATTATTATAATTAGATACTGGTTTGCTGGTTCGCTGGTTTGCATCTATTGATTTACAGAATCCAACAAAATGGAATTGAAGAGACACCGATTGATAAAAATCCTAATATTTAGGGTCTTCACCCAATTGCATATTTCTCTCTCCCAAAATTATTATACGTAGCTTTCCCAAATAATGAGATTCCAGGAGAAAATAGGGCACTAAAAAGCTATTCCCACTCTCGAAAACACTGACGCCACGTCCGAAGGATAGCCCAAGGCCAAATATTCATATTTGATTTCATAAATGTTAAATGTGTTTGTGTCAAATAACATTTCAGCTAGCATTGATAATATTCAATGAATCCTAGCGATGCATATGGAGAACAAAATAGATAATGGAAAACTCCAGCTAAGAAATATTGCTGAAACTATTAAATATTATGGAACAATGGCGTTATTTTAAATATTGGTTTAATATATTTTTTTTCAAAAAGAAAATGTATCACATACAATTGAACTGATGGATTCTGGTTAGCGTCAGATGAATAACCAGTATACCAGTATAACCATTATCTGATTAGAATAATTTGTTGAAGATCTCAAGTTATATAAAGGGATATATCTCTGTATTAGTGAAACTGTCTAATTTTTCTTTAGTTCTGTATACTACAAAATAAGGATTAGTTTCCAATTAATATAGGACATTACTATAGAACAACAAATGAGAAACACCTCGAAACTGTTAATAGGATAAAAAGTAATTTCTCAGTTTCGAATTGTGCAAAAAAACTTTAAGGTCTTCATGTAATTATTCTAATTATATTAATTAGATGCTGGTTTGCTGGTTTGTTGGTTACGCTTCTAATTCTAACCATATTCAAACATTTGAGACTTTTGTATTATTTGGTAATATTTATATTTTCCCTTTCATTTATAAATTTTTAACAATTTTTAGTTATTTTACGATAAAGTATGTTGAATTATGCAAGTTAGCTAGTTGAATAGAAAAATGGCAGATAACCAGTAACAAAAATCAATGACTGACCAAGAACAAACTGACGAAATCTTTTGAAACAAGGGGTGAAGATGAAATCATTACATTGCCACTATTAGTAACATGACCACTACAAACTTATATTTAAATGGTTACGACTCTTTCAAAAAAAACCCTTCAGATATTTTTAGATTAATTGTATGAATAGAAGCAACTTGATATATCAATATTTAAAGCATATTAAATAAACTAGTTCTGTGACGGACGTAGGAATTAGTGTATGGTAAAGACTGATATTATTTATGATATCAATTTCTATTGGAGAGATAATAATATCTTATAGGGAATATTATATGTAATTTAGCGTATTTTAAATTGTATATGATAATAATATAGGGAAATTTTATATTCTGGTATTGAGATAGAAGGAATATTATAGTAATAGCATAGCAATTGCATAGTAATTATAACTTGTGGTAGTGTCAATATTAGAATGTAAGTGAGACGATTGGGATAATCATAAGTGTTAATTTAGATTATTTAAACAAATAAGATAGTTGATTATTATTTGGATGAGAAATACGAGTATAAAGCATGGGCGAATACTAGATAATGACAGTGTGGATATGCGTTTAGATCTTACAAATATTATTTGGTGGCAAGGCTTTCTAAGAAGAGTTTTTCGTTGATCTTTATAGCGATGCTAGAAGTCTGTTTGATGATAATTTAAAAAACACAAAAGAATTATTACAATGATCAAAGATATTAAAGATTTAACTGCAGTGGCAGAAATGAGCCAAAGATAAGAATTATTCATTTATTTCATAGAGGAATTAGGAGGTCACTGATTTCAACACCTGGTTCCTATAATGAATGTCGATGCAGGTTAGAAACTGAGAAGGAACTAATAACAGTTTCGAAGTTATCACCCTTTTGTTGATTCATGTTAAACTATATTGCTGAGGCACTGATCCTTAATTCTATTATATATAACTATATAAAGATTAGATAGGGAGCAAGAATAGTTTTCACTAAGATAGAAAATTATCCCTTTATGTAACTTACGCAGTTCATTTGATTATTCTATATAGATGCTACCTATACTGGCTTGCTGGTTTGCTTTTAATGCTAGCCATATTCCAACAATTTGTAAAATCTTTTATGCTATTATTACTGATGAAGAAAAATATAGGGAATACCTAAATCTGATAATTCGTCTATCCTGTTTTGATTGGAATAAACCGTCTGAGAAGTTACCTCCTACTATATCATACTTGAAGTTTCGGTATATCTTAGATTCCTTGAAATGTTGGACAGCTTACGCAACTCTATTCCGTAGTGTTCAATTAAATAATATTTCAAGTACGTTAGGATTATTTATATCTTCTAACGACTCTGAACAAAGCAAAGCCTACTGTTTAATTAAAGATACTTATAAGAATCTGCTTAAAGAAATAACAGATATTCCTGGACATTCCTTTATACCTTTAGGTCCTGGGAAATATTTGTTAGATGGTAAGTCATTTCAAAAAGAATATTTAGTTCATCTTTATAGCGACGCTAAAAAATTGTTCGATAGTAAGTTAGAAGATCTAGGTCATTATTACAAAGATCTTAGAGATATATCTGTGGTGGCAGAAATGACAATCAAATCCCCCAAATGTGTTCCCTTTGAAAGCAGAGATCAGCCAATGATAAGTATTACTGATTTGTTTACTATAGATACTCAAAGGTCAGTAATTCCAACAATTGGTTTCTATAATGAAGATGATCATAATAGAATTATAAATCTAGTTGTGGATTGTCTAACTTGTTTAATGTTGATGATCTACATCTCTTCTGGTAGTCCATATAGGTTTCCTGAAATGAGAGTACTTAAGTTTGCTGGTAATGCAAGAAATTTGTTCATTAACCCGATTGACAAAACAGTGGAGCTCATTACTACTTTTTAAAAAAATAAATCCCTTATTCCTATATGCAAGGTCGTCGATCAGTTGACTTCTGACTATATTATATATGCTATTTTGGTTCTATCTCCAATTATTCGTAAGCATACTAATGAGATGAACTACGTTATGAATCGTGATTTACTAAATGAAATAAGTTCCGAAAGTAACTTGAATCAACGTGTTATTGACCTCACACCTCAACAAGATTTAAGTGATAATGAATTCACTTCTCAGGTTTTAGAATCTTATTTATTTGTAGATCCGATTAGAGGGACTTTGATTGATTATAATAAGTTTAGTTTCCTTATTAAACACTATCCTTCATGCGAACTTGAAGACTTACGCTTTAATTTTAGGGCCTTAAGACATGCAATTATTGGTATTCAAAGATATGAGTTATCTGTCGATGATACTGGTATGCGTATTGCTCCAGCGACTGCAAGGCAGGCTGGTCATTTTTTGTCGACAGACATCCAGAGGTATAGCGTTAATTCTACCGGTATGGCAGGATATCAAAATACCACAGCAACAATATATGGATATTTCATTTCCAAATCCTGAATAAAATTATTGGGTCTTGGATATGAAGTTTCAAATTTGGTTCCTAAAGATGTAAAATTAAATAAAGAGAAGCCTAATTTCCTAGTAAGTGGTAACATGAAACGCATTATTGCTAAATGTGATGAAATTTATGGAGACTCATTTAAGATTAAACCAGAACAGATGGAACTTTGTGTTGATGTTTGTTTTGGTTCCTCTGATATTATTCCAGTGTATGCTCTTCCTGGTTTTGGTAAAACAGTTATATTTGAAATACCTTTGAATATAATATCAACTAATAAAAGGAATAAGCATTTTGTTTCTTTTGTATTTGTGCCATATAGCTGTCTTCTAGACGATATTATGGATCGTTTTAAGCTGTCTGGTACTTTGAAAATTGGTGATGTCAAAGATATTCTGCGCAATTGTGGATTCTGTAGTGAAGCTGAACTTACCTGTGATGTTTATTTTGGAACTTTTCATGACTTCGGAAAAGAACAGTTCTTGAATTTAATCAACAATTGGTATGATATTTTTCAGAATACTATACTAGGTATGATGGTAATTGATGAAGCTCACAATCTTGTTTGCGAACAGGAATATCGTATGGACTCTTTTTTAATATTTCTAATATCTGTTTTGACAAAGCTTGGAAGGTTTTACTTCTGTCTGGTACTGTTGGTGAAAATACGATGGGAGAAGTGACTAAATTTTTGGGATATAGGCAAGATTTGACCTATGATGCTACTGATAACAAAAATATTCTTTGGTATAATTTTGTTAAGAATGTTCCTTTAAGTAGAATAGATAAGGAATTCATTCTTACGAAAGACAGATCTGAATCCATTACTTTGGCTTTGCAATTGGTTGAAGGAATTATTAATACTATTGATAATCCCAAAATCATTCTTGTTTGTAAGGAAAGGGAAATGGTAGAGATTATAAATGAAAACTTGCTGAATAACCGAATTTCTTCTTGTTATGTTCATGGAAACTTAACACCTGATGAAAAGACCATATCATTCAATAGTTTCAAGAAGGACAAAGAAAAAAAAGTTCTTGTTGGGACTAAATTGGTTTCAGAAGGAATTAATATTCCAGAATTGAAATATGTTATTTTGGTTAATTATCTTCCTCAAATTCACGAATATATCCAGACTGCTGGAAGAATTAGAGGGGAGAGTGCATGTATTACACTGTGGAATGAAGCATGTAGAGATGAATTCTCCATCAATTCCAAGTGTATCGTGAGCCAAATGAGTAGTTTCTATGGTCTAGCAAATATATTTGAGCATGAATCTTGTTGTGGTTCATATAAGTTTTTGAATAATAATAATAATGATAGGTTGTTGGAAGTGTTAAGTAAGAAGAAGGGAAAAAAAATTAACGGGTTGATAGAGGAAAGAAATGAAATTATTAAATCGAGTGTTGAGGAAGTTATTAGAAAGAGAAAATTTTGTACATCAGGAACGAATGAAATGATTCCTTCGAGGAAGAGGCAGAATAATGATATGGTCATAAATAATATTAAAGTTACTTTGAAAGAAGATTTACATGCAAAATTTAAAAATGCACGTAATATTTTTGAATTCTTAGGAATTACTGGAAATTCTAAGTCAACTTTGATTGCTGATGGTGTCGAACAATCCTACTTTGATTTTCTTCTTTATGATTCTGATTTTGTTTATTATGATTCTGATTTATGTTCTGATTGTACAGGTACTGATGGTATCTGTTACTGTTGGGACAAAAAATTCACTCTAAAGCAATGTGGTATTAGCTGTTTTGCTTTTATGAAAATGGCTATGACTGATGAAATGTTTTCAGCTAAAATAAATAAATTAACGAATTCAAGTCTATTAGAAAGAACACTATCTTTTGTTGAAAGAAAATCTTCCATGAAAGAGTTATTTAAGACAAATCTATCTGGATATTGTAAATTTGTGACCAACGGGAATATTCTCGAAGTGAATAAATCTCTTGATTTCAGATTGATTGTATCAACTTATAACTGGCAGTGGAAAAAGCTTAAGGATGAAAAGTTAGATGTCTTTTGGTATTTCTATGATGGGTCATGTTGTGATGCTACAACATTATGGGACGAACCATATGAAGTATATTATAGGAAACTTGTTCGATCGAAATTCAGCGATTATGCAAGCGTTTCATTTAAGGCCACTGAGGATACCAGTTTTAAATTTTTTAAATCACTATTTAATTTCAAAAAAGTTAGTGAATGTTCAAACTATAATGAAATTGAAGATATGAGGGAACGTTCGAAATTTGGTAATATTGACTTAGATTTGTTTGTTATTGATAATAAGAAATTTCTATTGATGATACTTGGTCTCTTTATAATGTTACATCTCGAAACATTTTGAACAACTTCTATACCCAGTTGCCTAATGTAAAAATGTTCCACCAGTGGATGAAACTACAGAGGACCTGGATAAATATTAAAACATTGAATTTGCGTAATGTCAACATATGTCAGCCATTATATTATTATTATCCTAAATTTGTATTAGAACTCAAACATCCTAGAAAAAATACTAGTTAAGTTTGTACTGGAGATATATTAACTGTGTATATTAAAATTGATTTAAATCTTTGTTGTGATGTCGATGTGTATTACTTATAGGACCATTCATTGTCATAACCAGACCAGATAATCGTGGCAATGCCACGATCCAATGATGTCAGGCTCTGTTTCATAAGGCCATCAAACTCCACCAAAGCTGATATCTCAATTCTAAGCCAAAGTGAAATATTCTTTTTAATATTCTTGTAATTCGTGATTCACCCTGAAAAGATTAAACTTTTCTTCTCGCTCACAAAATGAAAAAGTTTTTCAAGGTCGGTGATGTTTGTTAGGGAAGGTATTAAGAAGGTGAAGGCGTAAGGTAATGAGGATGAATGTCGCAGGTAATAGTTAGAGTGGTGATAATTAAAATAGTTGTAGTTAAAGTAGTTGTATTTAAGGTGAGATAATGGGAATTTGCATCGAAGGTAAAGTTGACATGGAGATTAAGATTATTAAATAAAATATGGCATAACAATAAAATTAGTCTATAACAGTAAGCCGATGGCTGGAGAGAATATTCAATAGTGACAGTGTCGATTGTGAGCGCAGTTTCGAAACCAACAGGGTGTATGTATCCTTGGATAGAGGAACATCAGTTGGGGTAGACTGTGTAGCAGAGTAAGACATAGTTAGGATATTATAAACAAATTATTGATTGGATTGGTTCTAAGGTATAAGTACAATTATACGTTAGAAACCTCTAAAACTGTTGTTCTTACATATCATTATAGAAAGAATAACTAAAGGGTGAGAATAGTTTTATTAACATACAAAACTATCCCTATAGATGCCTTACCAATTCCATCCAATTGGTCTAATTATATGCTGATTTGTTGTTTTGCTGGTATACTGGTTTGCATCTATTGATTCCCAGAATCCAACACTGGTAAGAGAAGTTTTGCAGAAGCAGCTAGGTAAAATTGAGTTGGAAGTACCTATGATAAGCATTCCTTCAATGTTATAAATTTATAAGACATCTATAAGAAATATGAATATAGTTAACACAGAATGATATATATTTGATTATCGTACTTATGTTGGGCTTAATTAGAAACTGAGAAGCAGAAATAGAACATAATAGAAAAAAATTATCGTTCAGAGGCTATTAGCTGAAACTTAATTCAGTATGGACTTATTATAGAATTGCATTTTCTGCAAGATCCATATCATCACAGAATCCCATTTATACCAATTTTAGTCATATTACATCATGATTTTGTTTAATTCGCTATACTATTAATGATGTATTAATTGGCGTTCTAACCAGGAATTTTGCAACTGTATCATTGCATAGGTAGAATGGGGTTTAATCCATGTGTAGTTTAATTTATATATTATGTACTATATATATATATATATGATAGAGATATTACCATAAACATATTTCAGTTTACTCTTCGACTGTATAAGCTAATTCGTGTATTTGAGATGAAATATTGAGATAGAAAGAAAAGACCAATTGGCCAGGTAACAGAAGAGAAGAGGGGGGATGAGAGGACGGGGAAATATTAAGAAGCGGCCCATATTATATTTATGATTGAGTTCTGAAATTATATGTACAATTTTTCAAGTGAATTCTTTGTGGCAGAAATATACACATTGGCAGCAGGATCCTGGATTCTAGGAAGACATTGGATTGTTATTGAAGATTTAGTATTGAACAGAAACATATACCTTTTGATAAGTTGCAGTGTTAGCATCTAATACATATCGAACAGTTCCATGTTATTAGATTATGTGTGTGTTAACATATAACAATGGTACAATTACTTCCATACGATTTTATTGTTTCATTGATATATGTTGAAAACCTAAATTCTAATTGCATCACCGAGAGATATTATTGCAAACTGAAAATATTTTTAATTTCAGTTAATGTAAATTATGGCATCCAAATGTTTTTTTCTTCTTAATCGAATTAACAGTTTTAATTAAATGGATCAAGTTGAATTTACTTCCTTCCCAAATTAGTGTTGAAGTAATATTCGTATTATATTTCAGATTTGAAATATTTATTTTACCTTACTTCAATTCATTATAATATTATGCTAATTTGCCTAATATTAATGTTAGTGATTTATTTCGGTATCAATCAGTCGGTGCATTGAAATATAAGTATGCTTTAAAGTTCTATTTTATA